AGGGGATGACTCCTTGGTTAGTCCTCCTTCGGAGTACTTGACCGATCGCCGGTCAAAAGCCGAATGGCTTCCCCACTGCTGTGGCCCGTCTTATATAGGGCCGAGGCGAGGCTTAGTGTGGCCAAGAGAATATATTTGAGAAATACCAAGTATCGATATTTTGATAGCCAACTAATTTCTGGAATTTTTTACCGATATATATTTTTACCTGATTTTGATAAAAACTGGCGGAACAACATTCGGCGGAAAATCTCATAGCTCGGCCAAAAATTTCAATTAACCTGTTCTGAATAGGTTTTTCTAAGCTTAACAAAATTGCGGACACAGCAAAAAGATTTAAGCTATTTTTATCGTTAATTTATAAGAAATTGGTGGAAGCGCCCGGCTGCGGTTCCCGCGGTAGCGTTCGGCTCCGGTGGAAGCGCCCGGCTCCGGTGTAGGCGCCCGGCTCCAGTGGAGGCGCCCGGTTCCCGCGTTGGCGCCGGCTGCCGCGGTAGTGCCCGAGGCATGGACGCATTGATCCGGCGATCCAATCCAGGGGATGACTCCTTGGTTAGTCCTCCTTCGGAGTACTTGACCGATCGCCGGTCAAAAGCCGAATGGCTTCCCCACTGCTGTGGCCCGTCTTATATAGGGCCGAGGCGAGGCTTAGTGTGGCCAAGAGAATATATTTGAGAAATACCAAGTATCGATATTTTGATAGCCAACTAATTTCTGGAATTTTTGCCGATATATATTTTTACCTATTTTTATAAAAAAATGGCGGAACAACAATCGGCGGAAAATCTCTTAGCTCGGCCAAAAATGCTTGAAATCCAATTCGGAAAGCTGTTCTGAATAGGTTTTTTTTAAATTGCATACTCAGTTTTAAATACTTACCCATAATTTATAAAAAGTTTTGTTATTTTTATGTTAATTTATTGTTGGAAGCGCCCGGTGGCGTGCGGTTCCCGCGGTGGCGTTCGGCTCCGCTGGAAGCGCCCGGCTCCGGTGTAGGCGCCCGGCTCCAGTGGAGGCGCCCGGTTCCCGCGTTGGCGCCGGCTGCCGCGGTAGTGCCCGAGGCATGGACGCATTGATCCGGCGATCCAATCCAGGGGGTGACTCCTTGGTTAGTCCTCCTTCGGAGTACTTGACCGATCGCCCGTCAAAAGCCGAATGGCTTCTCCACGGCTGTGGCCCGTCTTATATAGGGCCGAGGCGAGGCTTAGTGTGGCCAAGAGAATATATTTGAGAAATACCAAGTGTATAGTTGTGTCCCCTTGTATGTCTGCAACTAACAAGAGGTCATTGTAGGAGGGGTTCCCAGGCAAGAGTAAACACAGGTCGGGATAATTTCCAACGTTATAATTATTATTATTCACTGATTTACTTTAAACTAGATATATATATATGTATGTACAGATGGGTGTGTATTCGCAATAGATAAGGCGCTAGACCGGCGGCGTGCGTTCCGCGGCGTTTGCAAAATCAGACTAATTGTTCACCTCTCTTCCATTCTCTTCTTCCCGCATCGTATGCACTGTCCAGCGACGAGTGAGCGATCGGCTGATCGCCACTCTCCCGCACAGTGGGACACGCAGCAAAACTGAACATGCCGCCCGCCAATGCTAGACCTAGCATGAGACATCTCCGCGTGTCCAGTCCATCCTGGGGGTAGTAGGCGGGGCAGAATCTAGCATGGAGACAAGAGACAAACGGTGTGCGCAAGAAATAATTTATTATGATTGAGGTGTACGTGAGAGCGCTTAAGAACGGATTGGCAGTGGACACAGCTTCGACACTGACCGCTTTAATTGGCCTTGCTTGGTTTTAAGGGTTACCACCCGGACTAACGCATCCGCCCCTGGGTGTAACTCGACGACCCGTCCTAACAGCCACTGTGAAGGCGGGAATCGGTCATCCTTGATGATGACAAGGTCGTTCAACTGCAGACCTTCAGCCTCATGACACCACTTCGGTCTCTGCTGCAGATGAGCCAGCCAGTCTCGACTCCAAGCCTTCCAGAAATGGCGAATCATTGACTGCTGGATAAGAAACTGCTCTGCGAAGGACTTGGACTGCGGCCTATACTCCGGAGGCGCCAACATGGAGTCTCCAATTAGAAAATGAGCCGGCGTAAGCACCTCTAGATCGTCAGCATCGGCTGTAAGAGGGCACAGCGGCCGCGAGTTGAGGCATGCTTCTATGCTTATGAGCACCGTAGATAACTCCTCATAGGTGAGCCGTCGATCGGCGATGACCCTCTTAAGGTGGTGCTTCACCGACTTCACATTGGCCTCCCACAGCCCGCCAAAGTTGGGCGATTGAGGTGGATTGAAATGCCAAGTGGCACGCTGCGCAGCGAGCTTTGGGGCTATGAGCTTCTCGTAATCCTCCTGCAGCCTTCCGAATAATGCCTTCATTAGATTATCCGCGCCGATAAAGTTGGTTCCGTTGTCACTGTATAAATGCTGAACCATCCCTCGCCGCCCGGTGAACCGGTCTAAAGCCAGTAAGAAATGCTCCGTGGTGAGACCCGTCACTGCCTCCAAGTGTACAGCCTTCGTCGCCAGACAAATGAAAACGGCTATGTATCCCTTGTAGAAGCTGGTTCCTCTCAAGCGCGCTGCCTTCAGCTCTATTGCGCCTGTGTAGTCAACTCCCGTCGCCAGGAACGGTCGATTAGGGGGGTTGACCCTGTGTAGCGGCAGGTCTCCCATGAGCTGAGCCGAGGTGGTTGGCCGGGTGCGAAAGCACCCTCACGCACTTCCGCAGCACCCTTCGAACTGCTTGCCTCCCTGTCAGTATCCAGAACCGCTGGCGAGCGTGGGCCAAGGTCAGCTGCGCACCTCCGTGCAGAGTCAAAGTATGCGAGTACCGTATTACTAGCTCTGTAAAAATATGAGAACTTGGGAGGATTATTGGATGCCGACGTTCGTATGATCGCCCCGAATGGCGCAATCGCCCCCTCACTCGTAAGATTCCCTCCACCACGATCGGTGACAAACTCTGAAGCTTGCTTTTGGAGGGCAGCCGTTTAGAATTCATCAATGCGGCCAGCTAAGACGAGAAGGACTCCCTTTGAACAATGCGCACGATGGCGAGTAAAGCATAGTCGAGCTCCTTAATGCTTAGGGGACCGGTACACCTCTCTCCTTTGCTAATAGCATTGCTTTTGAACCGAATTATAAATGCTGTGACTCTTATGGCCTGGCTGAAATTGGAAAACCTCTCAACCAACGATGGTTGCGGAACTGCCAGGTGAACGCGTACCTTGTCCGCCTTTGCCTCCAGCGCGGCATCGTATATGTCGACCTGCCCGATCTCCGTCGAAGGCCAGTCATCTTGCTTGCGTGTAAGCCACTCCGGGCCTCGCCACCACAAATCAAAATCCTTTAGCTCGCTCGGAGGAAGCCCTCTTGTCGCACAGTCCGCTGGATTCTCGCTAGTACCTACATGTCTCCATTGCGATGGCGACGAGTGGTCCAGAATGAAGGCGACCCTGTTGGCAACGAACGTCTTCCATCTATTGACGTCCCCGTGCAGCCAATGAAGAAGAATCGTGGCATCCGTCCAATAAAAGGTCTGGATGGGAAGGTCATTTAGCCACCTAGCCGATGTAAGCCATTTCACCAACTTGACGGCTAGCACTGCACCACTCAGCTCCGTTCTTGGTATGGTTAGGGGTTTAGTAGGGGTAACCTTTGATTTTGCGGCCAACAGCGAGACGTAGCACGCTCCATTCCCGTGCTCGAGCCTTAGATAAGTAGTAGCTGCATAGGACGTGGAAGATCCGTCACAAAACGCGTGCAGCTGAGCTGATACTATGGATCCTGGGGAATAATGAATCCACCGCTGTATGCTCAGGCCGTCTATCCCCAGCAAGCCGTCCCGAAATGCTTGCCACCTTTCCGCAAGAGCCTTAGGAACCTCGTCGTCCCAATCCAGAGCCGTCCTAGCGCCGTTGTCCTGCGTTTTCTTAGCCATGGTTACCTCCTTCAATATTAACTTTCCCGAGATGATGACTGGCGCGATGAGACCTAGCGGGTCGAACAGCCTCGCTATGCTCGACAGGATCGTCCTCTTAGTGAAAGTAGGTGGTATCTCAAAATTGACCTGAAATTTGAAGCAGTCCTTATTGGGGAGCCAATACATTCCTAACGCCTTGATCGGAACCGCAGCGTCCCAGTTCAGAGGTGTCCGACTGCATTGATGCTCTGGGGGAATCGATTGCAAAAGGCTCTCTTCGTTGCTGGACCATTTCCGCAACTCCATGCAAGCGGATTTTATAGCACCCGATACCTGGGCCCGTTTATCCTCCGCATCTTCTATCGTATGCCCACCGGAAAGAATGTCGTCCACGTAGATCTCGTCCCTTAATACTTCTTCCGCCTTAGGAAACGAACACCGCTCATCCTTCGCTAATTGTTGAATGACTCTGATCGCCATGAAGGGTGCCGAAGCCGTTCCGAAGGTTAGCGTTGTCAACGCATAAACGTTGATGGACCCATCCGCCGCCCGCCATAAAATCCGCTGATATTGGGCGTCTTCCGGGTGAACATCGATACACCGATACATTTTCTGTATATCCGCCGTGAAAACAAAACGATATTTCCGCCAGTTGAGAATGACTGCAGACATGTCGTTTTGAAGAGTAGGCCCAGTCCACAAAATGTCATTTAAAGATCTTCCATTGCTAGTCCTTGAGGAGGCATCGAAGACGATTCGCTGTTTGGTTGACTGAATTTCCTTCTTAAAGACAGCGTGATGCGGAAGTACACAAGAGGCTACATGCCTGTTCGCGGCCGTACTCCTTACTGTGCTGCTTTCACTGCCCATTGCCGGCGCTATTTGCTCGAGCGCGAAGTATTCCTCAATCTAATCCACATATTTGCTCCAACGGTCTGGATTGTTGGACAGACGCCTTTCCATCTGGAGAAACCGATTAAGCGCCATCTGATGAGACTTTCCCAAGACCATGGTCGGATCGAGATAGGTTTTAAAAGGCAACCTGACCACATAGCGGCCATCCGGTCGACGCACGTGGGTCTCCTGAAAAAACGACTCGCACCAGAGGTCCCCCTCCGTCGCTATAGGGCGATCAGGAACTGACTCGACTTCACAGAAACGCTTCAGCAACGCCTCCGTGTCCAGCAGCACTCGATGACAGCGCAATTGTGTTGCTTCTCTTACTCCTTCGGCACGTCCCGATAGAATCCATCCGAAGCGTCGCCGGGCAATCCAATCCTGGTGTCTGGCAGCATGATTTGCGCCAACATGTCCGCTCCTAAGATGAGATCGACTCTCTTCGACCGGGCGTAGCTCGGATCCGCCAGAGGGAGCCCTCGAATATGATTCCAACGCTGCGGCGTGAAGCTAAGGCTAGGCAGACAGGAAGTAACTGAATTGAGAACATATGCTGAATCAACCTCTAGAGAAAAATTTGGATTAATAATACTATTAACTTCGAAATTAACTGTATACTTGCAACGACGACCGCCCCCTGGGCCCACCCCAAAAATCGATGCTCGGGTATTGCACCGTCTCAGATGCAGGGACTGTACGACGTGCTCCGAAACTATGGTTGCCTCAGATCCTTGATCGATGAGAGCATTTATGACCGCTCGTAGCCCGTTGACCGGGTTTCGTACGGCAATACGAGCAGTGGCGAGGAGCACATTTCGGGAGGATCCATTCGCCGAAGTTGCTGAATAGCATCTGTAAGATGCGTCCGGATTCTGGCCCGACGTTGACTGTAGGCCCTGCTGAGGTACGGTCTCCCCAGCTGCATCAGGATGCGTCGCGGCAGACCGAACTGGATGCAGCGGTGTGTGGCTTGACGATCGGTCCTGAGCCAATGCTGGGAAATGCAACAGCGTATGATGGCGCTGGCCACAAATTTGGCAGCTCTTATTGCTGGTACAGCGGGAAAGCGCATGTGCTTTACTCAGACAATTAATACATAATTTCGCCCTGGTGACTATGTCCTTCCTCTTATAGCAGTCCAAGGCCAGAAAGGCGGCACAACGACGCAGGATATGGTCACCGCTACAGTGATAACAGAGGCTATTCGGGCGCCTTGAGTGCTCCTGTGCATTATGCACTCGCACTCTCTTGCCTGGGTCGGCAGATCCTGGGCCATTATTGAGTCGTACGACGAGCTTCGGTTCTCGATCGCATCCATTATGACCAGCCGATCATTCAAAAACGATTCTAAATCCTTATAAGTGGGAACGGTGGCACCGCTCCCTTGGTGGTGCTCCCAAGCGTTGTGGGTCTCCTTGGGCAACTTCGCTGCTATGTAATGCGCCAACCAGTGCTGCCGTTCCCCGTCCAAGGCTTGGACGCGGCGGAATGCAGCCAGGCAAACATTGACCGTGCTCAGCATCGACCGTATGGAATCCGTATTATCCTTTTGTAGCCTGGGCAACGCGTATATCGCGTTCATGTGGTGGGAAAACACTAGACGAGGATTGTTGTACCTTTTAATCATCATTCCCCATGCCACGGCGTAGTTCGTCTCCGTGAGCTGCATTTGACGGATGTCATTATCGCGCCCTACCGGCAACGATTCCTTCAGAAAATGTAACCGCTGTACGTTACTCAAATTATTGTTGTTATGTATGAGGCTCGTGAAAGCGTCATAGTAGCCTGGCCAGTCCACACACGCACCGGAAAACTTGGGAACTGACATCTGTGGCATGTTCAGTCGCACCTCCGGATCAGCGGCTCCACTTGGCAGTGGCTGCAGCTTAGGAGTCTCGGCTTCAAGTCTATCCAAATCCTCTGCGATGGCACAATAGGCGTCCATATAACGCTCCTCGAACTCCGACTGGAAATTTTTCACGGCATAGCTCGATTCCGCAAACCCTTCTAGATTCACGATCACGGCATCAGTCTCCTGGAACGCGCTCCTTAGCTCTTCCACTTGTTGCAACCGCTTCTTTAAATAAATTCTCGTTTTCCTCGATTGTGAATCCTTTTTTAAAATTCAGCAGCGTCGATTTAAGGGATTGGGCCCGATTTGCCTGTAAGTTAACTAATTGCTCGAAAGTTGGAGGATCCGAAACAGTTTCCATGCTGACGAGTGTAAAACCAAAACTTAGCGCAACTCACCACCCCAAATAAACATGTAAAGAAGATATCGGTAAATTCTTGTCTCGCACACAATTTGTCACTTACTCCGTTTTGCACACAAGATTTCACCCCGAAGCCACTCAAAGAAACCAAAAGAAGAGAGCGCCTCCGTTCCTTGACCTGCCGTTGATGCGCTTATGTATCGCCGTCTTCTTTTCAGGCAGTTCGCCGAGCCGACTTGCAAACTTAACGCGGCCGCGCGATCTAACGGAATCTATTTACACCCAGTAAAATCGACTTTAAATTTTCACAATTGCAAGGTTCCCCTCATGGGCCACCATGTATAGTTGTGTCCCCTTGTATGTCTGCAACTAACAAGAGGTCATTGTAGGAGGGGTTCCCAGGCAAGAGTAAACACAGGTCGGGATAATTTCCAACGTTATAATTATTATTATTCACTGATTTACTTTGAACTAGATATATATATGTATGTACAGATGGGTGTGTATTCGCAATAGATAAGGCGCTAGACCGGCGGCGTGCGTTCCGCGGCGTTTGCAAAATCAGACTAATTTTTCACCTCTCTTCCATTCTCTTCTTCCCGCATCGTATGCACTGTCCAGCGACGAGTGAGCGATCGGCTGATCGCCACTCTCCCGCACAGTGGGACACGCAGCAAAACTGAACACCAAGTATCGATATTTTCACAGCCAACTAATTTCTGGAATTTTTTGCCGATATATATTTCTGACGATCTGGTACTTTTGGTCGCTCCGATTTTTACCTATATTTATAAAAAAAACTGGCGGAACAGCAATCGGCGGAATCGGAAAGCTGTTCTGAATAGGTTTTCCTTAGCTTAACAAAATTGCATACTCAGTTTTGCTAAAATACTTACCCATAATTTATAAAAAAGTTTTAATCTATTTTGTATCGTTAATTTATAAGAAATTGGTGGAAGCGCCCGGCTGCGGTTCCCGCGGTGGCGTCCGGCTCCGGTGGAAGCGCCCGGCTCCGGTGTAGGCGCCCGGCTCCAGTGGAGGCGCCGGCTGCCGCGGTAGTGCCCGAGGCATGGACGCATTGATCCGGCGATCCAATCCAGGGGATGACTCCTTGGTTAGTCCTCCTTCGGAGTACTTGACCGATCGCCGGTCAAAAGCCGAATGGCTTCCCCACTGCTGTGGCCCGTCTTATATAGGGCCGAGGCGAGGCTTAGTGTGACCAAGAGAATATATTTGAGAAATACCAAGTATCGATATTTTCATAGCCAACTAATTTCTGGAATTTTTTGCCGATATATATTTCTGACGATCTGGTACTTTTGGTCGCTCCGATTTTTACCTATATATATAAAAAAACTGGCGGAACAGCAATCGGCGGAATCGGAAAGCTGTTCTGAATAGGTTTTTCTTAGCTTAACAAAATTGCATACTCAGTTTTGCTAAAATACTTACCCATAATTTATAAAAAAGTTTTAATCTATTTTGTATCGTTAATTTATAAGAAATTTGTGGAAGCGCCCGGCTGCGGTTCCCGCGGTGGCGTCCGGCTCCGGTGGAAGCGCCCGGCTCCGGTGTAGGCGCCCGGCTCCAGTGGAGGCGCCCGGTTCCCGCGTTGGCGCCGGCTGCCGCGGTAGTGCCCGAGGCATGGACGCATTGATCCGGCGATCCAATCCAGGGGATGACTCCTTGGTTAGTCCTCCTTCGGAGTACTTGACCGATCGCCGGTCAAAAGCCGAATGGCTTCCCCACTGCTGTGGCCCGTCTTATATAGGGCCGAGGCGAGGCTTAGTGTGGCCAAGAGAATATATTTGAGAAATACCAAGTATCGATATTTTCATAGCCAACTAATTTCTGGAATTTTTTGCCGATATATATTTCTGACGATCTGGTACTTTTGGTCGCTCGGATTTTTACCTATATTTATAAAAAAACTGGCGGAACAGCAATCGGCGGAATCGGAAAGCTGTTCTGAATAGGTTTTTCTTAGCTTAACAAAATTGCATACTCAGTTTTGCTAAAATACTTACCCATAATTTATAAAAAAAGTTTTAATCTATTTTGTATCGTTAATTTATAAGAAATTGGTGGAAGCGCCCGGCTCCGGTGATGGCGTCCGGGTCCCGCGGTGGCGTCCGGCTCCGGTGGAAGCGCCCGGCTCCGGTGAAGCGCTCGGTTCCCGCGGTGGCGCCCGGCTCAGGTGGAGGCGCCCGGCTCCGGTGGAGGCACCCGGCTCCGGTGGTGGCGTCCGGTTCCCGCGTTGGCGCCGGCTGCCGCGGTGGTGCCCGAGGCATGGACGCATTGATCCGGCGATCCAATCCAGGGGGGTGACTCCTTGGTTAGTCCTCCTTCGGAGTACTTGACCGATCGCCGGTCAAAAGCCGAATGGCTTCCCCACTGCTGTGGCCCGTCTTATATAGGGCCGAGGCGAGGCTTAGTGTGGCCAAGAGAATATATTTGAGAAATACCAAGTATCGATATTTTCATAGCCAACTAATTTCT